TATGTCACCGAGCGGCGAGTGTGGGGCGGCAGGGAGGTGCGCGCGGCGAAGCGAGTCGACATTTGAGGTGGAAAGAGCAACACACTTCGAATTAGCTACCGTACTAAAATCTCTATCTAAATGATCATCAGAATCTAAAGAATTGGAACGAGCAGTTTTTATAATTGATGAAATCGCCCTTACTGATGGTGGTGGATATGTGGAATAAGGAGAACTTGGGGACGTCGGTAAAGGAAATTCTTTTACAAAAGGATTTTTACTAATATTATTTAAGTTAGTTTTTCTTTTCAGTATTCCCCTGTCGTGTTCTCTCGTATCGCATTGTTTTTCCTCATATCTTTTATGTAAAGAGGGAGTAGAAATCTTGCTATAAACATTACTAATTTCATCCGGGGTCAAATAATTATTTGAATAAGAAATTGTGTGTCTTCTCTGAAGATTTCGGTGTTTCTTAGATGTTATATTTCTTTTATATCCTAATGGAGTTTCTTCTATTTCCGAAGTACGGGTTCTGTTACTTTGAGGCAATAGAAATTCATCAGACAAATTATTGTATCTAAAATTATCATAATTGGATCTGAGATTTAGCGATAGTATCCTCTTTTTATTGTTATGAGGTAACAAATCAAAATAGTCAATAGTGCTGGGAGATTCAGGAGTTTTTATGTCAATCGTTCGAGTATCGTTAATGTTGCGGGGATCAACAGTGAATTTACTTTGTTTTGCTACATTAACATGGATTGTAGTTTCGGCTATGCTACCATCACTCTCGTATCCGTAGTATTGTGAAATTGGCTCATCGTATTGGGTCTCGTCCAGGTTGACACTAAATGCAAGGTTAGCACTAAGATTATATGCGTCCGTGTCATCGCTTAGAGAGGAAAAATGTACTCTTGGTTCGTGAACTTTATTAATAAAATTGAAATCGGATGTTTTTTTGCGGTTCAAATATTTAGGCGCCACTAAATGTTGATATTCATAGGTCTTGTAATTTTCTGGACCATGATTGTTATAATGTTCAAGAGTTTTATCATAATGTTCAAATTTTAACGGTTGATCGAAGCGTACTCGAGCTTTAGGTAAGTCGCATTTTTCATCTGCGTACATAATAGGTTTCTGATGAATTGCAACAGTTGGAAGATACTCGCGGTTTTTCATACTTTTTGTTGTTTTATGTGAACGGGGCGGGTTTGAACGTTCGGGGCAGCTCGAGCTC